TTACTGACCATTACCGTCTTCTGAACTATCGAACTCGTTAGACTGTGAATGAAACTTTAGTAGTGAGACAGGTACACTGAAGCAGTCCCTTAATTAAATCTAGCACCCAGTTCTGAACGAATAATTATCGAACAAACTTGATCGATCAAACCTAGATTACATTAAGTAAATATATTGATGTATCATGTAAAGTAATTACCAGTTCCAAAAAATTAACGTTTTTATCAATATAGTGATACTAATTTATTCTTCCTGGATAGATAACGTACAGTTTGTCTAAGATTTAATATTCAATTTCATAAAGATGGCACTAACAAGAGTATAAGGGATTAAAAGCTTAATTGCTAGTTGCAACAACAAGATTTCTATTTCTGGAAGTGTGCTTCAAATCACATTAAAAATGCACAATTCCAGTCGGTTCAAGTAATAAAATCAAAAAGGGAAATGAGTCAGTATGAAAACTGTCACAACCCAACTGCTGAGTAAAGCAGCATTCATGTATTTTGCGAGGATCTTAGACATTTAGTAGAAACGTAGGAAAAAGGAAAACTAAGATAAAAAGCAGGTACTAACCATTTCAGAATTAAAGGATCAACGTAACGTGCAGCTAAAGGGAATAAATAGAATTATTTCTCATTGAAAAGTAAAACAATAAGTTACATTACAAAGGTGTATGAGTGGAGGGATTTTCGTACACATGCATACAAAACTTATTAAAATGATCTTAAAGTCGGATTATTACTAAATCCATCATGTGATTGGTTTGTCTTTCGCCAGTCTTGGCTTTTAAGGAAATAGTTGGCGGGCTCTCAAGGTTACAGACTGTCCTATAGTCATGATCTGTAACATTGCTGAATACATACGGTAATTTCGGTTGTTGTTTGTACACTTTGAGATACTGATCGAGTACCGGTTGAAAGTATTGATCGTTTATGCTTATTTATGGCTGGCTACGAACCGCAACCAACAAAATAAAGATCTACAAACAGATAACTAGGTATTTCTGTCTGCTACCGTTTGCTTTTTTAGACGAGTAGATTATAGTGTTGTATCACGTCTGTACCAATGACTGAGACTAACGCGTCTGTAACAGAAAAATGTAAGCGAATGAGTTTGCATATATTCCCCCTTAAAGGGAAACGTGTTTTATACTGTAAGTGGTTAGCGGTCTTCGTTTGACACCTATGAACTAAAGACCATGTTCTGTAGAAGGACGTCAATAGTTACGAGAAGGACGCTACCTTCTGGACCATCATCATCGCATCAATGTTGTTTAACAGTGAGCTATGTCCACTGACTACGGTTGTCGCTAACGAGTGTCGTCGGTTGGGTTTCCGGGAAGATTTGTTGTGGTAGGGGATATGAGATCGGGGAAACGGTAGGGTTTCGCACAATTTCTTTGGGATTTATCTTAATTGTTGTAGTACCGACATCAACAGAGTTATCTGTTTCCCGAGATTCAGAAACAGAGCTATTTCGTGGTGGGGTTCTTTGACGAGTTAAGAAGAAAGAGTGATAAATATGAAATGATCTGTAATTTCATTTTGTATCGAATGTGGAGTTTCTTTAACATAGCATGCCTTGATATTGAAGATTCTGGCTATTTCCACAATCCGTCTCGAAGACATAGCCAGTTGATCTTCAGAGTTATTTTGAAATGAAACGAGAAGACTCTTCACCACAATCCCTGTGTGCGGTCATGGATCACTCCCACAATAATATGCAAATTCTGCAAACTCTAAACACTCTATATTCAAACGGAAAATACATTTTTTATGATTTTAATCAAGTATCATTCTCTACAGAATGTTTGGTACTTATGTATTGCGTCAGAAATGTGTCCATTCCCCTCTCCAGTTCACCGGATGTTGTGGCTGTAATAAAATCAATAGCGACTTTCGACATCCTGAGGAAGTTTCCTCTTTGACCATTAGAACAGGGGTGTCTGAGAAGAGCACTCAAATTCTTGCCAACCATACCAGTTAAGTAAGTAATGATTGAATATGGAGCAAAATTAGAACTATTATTAGTCATTAATACCATAAGAACTCTTTAACGACTGAATACTTTTTTCAACGCTTGAATTGTGGGATCGTAATCCTGAGAAGTTGTGAAAATACTTTTGGAGACTTATAAAAAGCAGCAATAACAACAAATGCATAATATTCGCCGAGATATTGACTTTTCGGCTAGGTCTCAGTCGATACTGGCTACTTAGGAGGATGATTTTTCGAATTATGACACCTTTCGTTCTTTTTCTACGTAACATATATCCGCATTTACCTCCGCCCACCAACATTTGAGCCTTGCTTAATACTTCATTTTTTCAAACCCTCAAATGTTCTTAATAAAAAGTTGCAAGAATGGATTTGCATAATGAAGAAGGAATAACAGAGCGATCATTTAAGCATACAACACTGTAATAAGTAGTAGATAATTCATTCCACTTGACAAAATAAACAGGATATCTACGTTTCACATTAGCTTTCCAACTATTTAGTATGGCATTGAGTATACATCCAAAACATCAATGAGTTTCTTTAGTGAGTTTTGGATGATTTACCTGTGGTGATGGACAACTCTGAGCATACATTCGACTGGAAAAAATACTGAGATCTTAGACAGAGAAAATTCTAAAAATAACAGGAAATTCCCAGAGGCTTGGCACTCAGGTCAATCAGCAACCAACTTACACACTGAAATCGATCCGATCTACTAACCAATCAGAAAAATCATGAACAAATATAGGACCAAGAATCAAACCAGCTTTAGATGCAATCAAAATAAAGAAGTAAACAATGATAGGCTAAAGGTTAACAGTAATCAATCAAGATCAAGGTCTACAGGATAAGCTGTGAGCCACGTATGGAGAAATTCAAACATTTCACTTTTACCTGAAGTTTGTGCTCATAATGTCGTCCAGAATAACGATGAAAGCTCCATGACCAAACCACCCAATTCAGAAAATAAAAATCCACGTAAAACGATTTACTTGTAAATATTGCGCAAATAAACAATCTGCATTATCAACAGGTTTTTTCTTATGAGGAATGTTGAGATATGTAGTTAACATGTTGAATTTATTTGGAACTTCTGCATAATAATAGGCACTCAGAGCAACATTTCATCACTGAATGACAGAAGCTGAGTAACGTGCTACGAGTTTTTCAGGATGATGAATGAACTTTATGAGTTTCATGATCTGTAATAATAGTAGTTTTTCCAAATACGAAGTCGTTTAACGACAAGGAATTTATGAATATTAGATTAAACTAGCTTTACAAGAAAGAACTCATGTCCATCAGCTCCAATGAGATTGGCTTTGGTCTTTAATAGCTTTCTGGAAACATACCAAACATGGTAACGGTGTATGTAATTATCCAATGGAAAACGACTCGTGATCCTTCATTTTTCGGAATATTTCTGAAAAATTTCTTTTTAGTGCTCGGTTATATAAAACATTTCCTGGTAATTTTTTAACTCTTGGAAAATTTAGTGAGAGACATTTTTAGACTCCCTGATAGCTAGCAGTTAAAATACAAACTAGTCAAACTATCTAAATGGGTTCTGTAAGATTTTGCTGACATAGTGCGTTTGTAAATGGAACTGGTCGCCTCATATGTAGTCTAGAACCTTTATTGTTGATTACATATCCAAGACATTTAAAACTAGATACACGTAATGAAAACTTATTTGGACTTGAGAGAATATTCTTCCCAATCAGACAATGCAATGAAACAATAAATCTCTGACAAGGAGCCCCCTTATCAGAACCATTGCGAAAAAATATAACATTTTAAGATTACCGAATACATTATTCATTTTATGGGAATATGGCTGGAGAATAAATTTATTCAAATGGAAGGTGGTTGTATTTGAATGGATTAAAAGGATTAACTTGGAAAATGGTGTTATGAAATACGAAGGTGTTTGATGAAATTTTCTATATTTTATATTTGGAAGAAGCACTTGGGGAAAACCAGAATGATAATGTAATCTTTTTGTTAACACTATGTGTGTTACTGTTCTTTTAGTTATGTAAATTGTTTTGTTTGTTTATTTTTCAGTACACCTTACACATTCAAATAACAACAGTTAAAATTTCCTGCTTACTTTCTTCTGTCTCTCTTGTTATTTTCTTGTTTGTTTTAGCTGTGTCTAGTGATTAGGTGGGTTGAACATCATCATAGGCTGAGATTTGAGTTATGATCCTTTTTACCCAAACACGCGTACTTCTTCGTGTTAATCAGAAATCTAAAAGACTATAATCTCCCAAGACACTATTTCAATTACAATAATAGGACTACGAGAGTGCTACATAAAATACAGAATGTCGCGCGTTATTTTTCTGGTTGATACGCAAACGCTGCTTGAATTCGAAGCAACTACCTTCAGGTTTAACTTGCGAATGTCTATTGAAGTTGATCAGGAATAAACTTCCATGATTATCAAAGCTAATTCCCAAAATAATCGCATATTACGTTATGTTGGTTAGTATATAATCGTCTATCACCTACTAGTATGCAGTTTGATAAAGGTAGAAACTACCGTTCTTTTCTTAAAACATTCAAATCTTAGTTCTAGCACAATTGTTTATCTAAAGCTTAACCTACTAAGGATGAAAAGAAATCCCTGAAAAATATGTTCGAAACGGATTGTTTTTTGGCAGTTATAATATCTCCAGCTTCATCAGTTAAACAAAGAATAATTTAAATTCGTTTGTTCAGGAGCACTATGCTGTATTTGATTTTCAGTACACTAGAAGTATACATGTTCTAAAACCTAGATAGTTTGCTTTTCTATTTAACTTGTTAAGACAGCTGTTTTGAATTATAAACAGTATACTGACAGTGTACTAGCAGCTAATTACAACAAAACATAATATATACGATGTTATAATGATATAATGTACACTAAATGTACACCCAGAGACCTAAAAAGCACACAAAACTTCGACACATTTAGTGAATTCCAAACTATGTGTACAGAATATAAAATATCTCGTACCATCTCCCTCATATACATTCGTACAGATTATCTCCATCATTTGCTATTCGTCAACTGATTAATTAAAAACGATTTGTTTCCATGAACAAGTATATTATAGGTTCTCATTTCAAAAACTATCTACAACTGAGATTGTAAATACTTACAGATGGAAATGATAAAACTGATTGGCTTTTATTATCTCCTACCTCTTGCTAGATGTCTGAGCGGTTGTTGTGCACTTAACCTTAAACATTCCTAATACTCTGAAGTCTTTTGACAATTCGTGTTTAATGTTTAAGTAAAATAACAACACTTTTTATATTTGGCAATGGGACCAATAGCTCTTAACTTGTTAAGCGAACTGAGGACGTTATATTTATAACCATCCTCAGGTATGTGATATTTATCATGTCTCTTTAGAAAACAATCGTATATGAATACACTTTATGTTTTCATCACTTTGGTGTATATTAAAAAAGAGAACGACAATGTTAAAAGAAATTTAAGTTAAGCTTTTAGGTAACTTGCATAAGGAAGAGAAAAACTTTCAAAATAACTGACCTTCATGAGGTCGCGCTTAATAATAAAGCAAAAAGCCATTAAATAAGCGACAAATAGTCAATCATTATTTATAAAAAATGACCTAAATCCCTGTATTTTGTAATCAAGAATTTGAAAGAACAAAAGACTGTGCCCAGTGCAACTGAATTCATGGTCGGGTTCAATATCTTTTGAAGTCAAATAATTAATATAGACTTGTTTATAGAAGAGAATAAGGCAGGTCCTGATAAAGAAAGTTATATGAAAAGTTCCCTTATGGAATAATGAAGTGATCTTTTGACAAAAACAATTATGTTCCTATTTCCAAACAAAAAATATAGACAACCTCATTCAACTTGAAAATGTTATACACTGAATATTCTCAAATTTCATTATAAAACATTGTTACTTCACATTATTTCCTTCGGCGAAATTCACCAAACCTTTCGAAATATAAGAAATGTAATTGCAATAATCAGAATAAATTGAGGTCTACGTGAAAAGAGGGAGTTATTTTTCGGCCCTTCATCAATTCGAACTGTTTGAAGTGATTTTTTTTCTAAATTACGATGGTGCTGTCCAGCTATTTGTAAATTGTCATGGTCTTTTTCTCTTCTCGCTTCACGTACACCTAGTTTTGTTGATGTGATATTTTTGTTTCGATAGTTATTTACATTTTTATCTAAGTCATTATGTGAGTTTGGTTGTCGCCCCCATGAATCGGTAACTATATTATCAATGGCCTCAGTATGTTCTACAACTTCATGAAATTCAGTGGTTGTTACAGTTAAGTGATTTTGTTTGGGCGACATATAATGTTTGTCATGAATGTTCGTCATTTGCATATTCGATTCGTTTTCTGTTGCATCTAAATTAATATGTTAAAAAAATAGGAGAGTTATTTTCGATAAACATTTATATTGCAATTAGATTTAAAGATTATGTTCATTTCATTATTAATTAATTGAGGATATTTTGAAAGTAGTTCTACCACTATTAGAGAACGAGGTTTGTGGGGTTTGCTCAATCTGAAGTTGGGTTTAGTCACGTACAAATATCATCTGGAGAACACTAAATAGCAATTTCTCCGGCTAGTGATATTTCGAGATAAGGACTTACTACAAACAAAACAATCTCTCTAAACTCTTTATGAAGTAACAAATAACCGTTTCATCGTAGTTAGAGATTTCTCGAAGACGACACGGAATCGAACCAAGAAATATCCTACCTGACTACATACATGACATATTAGAGTATTAATCTAGAATTCATTAGTACATACTTTTAACTTCAGTCGATTCGTAATATTGCTCAACTACCATTCAGTACTGTAGGTTCTCTGTCTTTCTAATGAAAAGCATTTTAAATTCTACCAGGTCATGGCTTTTTTATACATAATTTAAGGAGTTATTTCTGAAATCTAGTTACATATTATTAAGATAGTTTTCTACAGTTCTGGCATAAAAGAGAAATAAATTGGTCACTTGTTAACATTAAACAATCTATCACAGTACCTGATGGCGTGAAACACAAAGTCACCCGGTAATCCGACCGTTAGATCGACAACCAAATGTAGACCAGAACACAAACTTAATGAGACAGGTATTAAACAGTAAGTAAAATTGGTAGGGGAATTGTATTATTTTAGGCATGAAGTGAAACAATTACATAATTATCAAATTAGTATTTCAACTTTATGTCACTATTAATTAAAGCTAATCAACATGACGACTATTTTACAATTAGTAATATTCAAATTGAATGTTTCTTTATTTAACCAGCGTATAGATTTATTTCAAATGTGAATAATAACAAGGACAAACGTTGTGTAAAATGTCCTTTATTGGAAAACATTTATTAGTTGTTAGTGGCGAGAAAAGTTTTCAAACTAATTGAAGGATAAGTTTCCGAACATAGGATGTAAAAAATGTGAAAAATCATTTAGAAATTAAATAATCCTAAATATGCTTGATGATTGATAGAATTCGATTAGTATAAGGGATTAGATAAGCATAACATTGGCCATCATCTAGTGATTAGTCAGTTTACATATTTCAGTCCTATAGAACGTTAGTCCAAGAGTAATGTTCTAGACTTTGAGGCATCATTACCCTTAACATTACAAGTACCTCTTACCAATCAATCCCAGCTGTAATGGAACCTAGGTTCTGGGTTTCGTCCAGACTACCTTCAAACACTTAACGCTAAACGTCCTAATTATACTTGATATTCAGTAAATTTTTTTTAGTTGACGTCAATGCCTGATATATATTTTCTGAATTGTAATTAAACTAGAAACACTTACATGTTAGGTCGTCTTCTACTGTTTGATCATCAAATGATTCCAGTGTCGACATATCATATTCATCTTCTTCATTTTCTGTATAATCAGTATTTGTATTCAGATAATTGACTGAATGACTATTTTCTTCATTAAGGGTATTAGTTTCTTTCATTTCAGTATGTTGTTCATCTTCACCCTTATACGAATCTGTATGATGTAGAGCTTCTGATTTTTCGCTTTCTCTTTTATCTTCTAATTCACCTTTTTCAGGTTGATAGTATTGTTGAAGTAATTCTGTTTCATGAAGATTGTTCTGTACATTTAATCCCTCTTCATTCTTTTCCTTTTTCAGTTCTTTAAATTGATTTTTTAGTTGTTGAGTTGTATATTGTTCATTTACTTCATATTCTTTTACTTCTACAAAATGTTCACTCGATTGTTGTTCAGTAGTTAACTCTATATTGTTTGTAACAAGCATCGTTGAATAAGTTGTCATTGGCATAATATTTGAATTTAAATTCATATTGAATAATTTTGTATTTTTTGTTATTCTAATAAACATTTTTGTAATATTTACATGTAAATAACCCGCTTTTTCTCTACCCATATTATTCCATTCTAAACGAATAAATTTTAATTTATCCATTGGATAATTATTTTGACAAAATAAATAATGTTTATTTAAATGTGAGACAATAAGTGAATTAATTTCACCGCAAAGAATTGCTTCATTATTCTCATCCATTGAATAAATTTTCAATGTGTCTATTATTGATGGAATGAAATAAATTGTAATACATAAATGAAATGAAATGAATTATTATAGTTTGTATATAGTAAATAAGAAAATGATTCAAATGATTATAATGTAATTTTAATGGTTAAGATCATGAGTCAATTAAAGCTAGACCATTATGGAAAACATTGAAAGCACTGGACGACTGTTTCATCCTCAACAGTGCGCATCTATGAAACCGTCTGGCGAGATTCGAACTTAGTACTTACCAGTATCGCGCGCGAGCGCTTAACCATTAGATCACTGATCCGGTCAACATTCAACGGTGTTAATGTCTAATTTCAACTAATCCACGAAATTGAACGACATATTCGCTATTGTCATCAGTGAGTTACTATCTCACAACAGACCTGGTTGAACTCCATTGGTCACTGTTTCACACCAGAACTCCAGGATATACTTCTTGAAGATTAAAATGTTATCAATAGTAGTAATCATTCTATTCATTTTAAATTGTTGAAACGTTCACCTCTATTAAAAATTTTGATCTGTAGACCAAAATTAGATCAAATTCGATAGACTAGTGTTTAATTATTTGATCTCATTTTGAAATTTCACAACTGAATGTATATAGATCTTGGTGTTACTTTTTAGAATGGGATATATTACTAATTGAATAAATCATTGACTGTCTGAATTCAGTAGCTTAGTGAATAGCGCATTGTAGTTTAAGGTGACAGATATTAAGTTTGAGTTTTAGTGTGAGTATCAAGACTAGGATGAAGGTATATCAAACTGAAAAGTTCAAGACAAGACTAATTGAGTATCTTAGAGTTCATTTGTGGCTAAAATTCAGATATACTAAAGCTTGTAACTAAAAGTTGGTATTGAGACCATACTCTCAAAAGTAATTAAAACATTCATCATAAGTATTGGTAACAGTAACCATTGCAAATATCTCATCTCATTGTTGCAAAACATGACTATGAATATTAGAAAAAATGTGTAAGTTTTCTTTAACTTGAAAAACATGTCTTGTTGGTACGTGACTAACATTTTAGAGCACCTTTTATCCTACTGCTCATGACCTAATCTTTAATAGTTAATCTGGAATGTCAGTTGTTTATTCACTGATAAAAAAAGTAAGCTATTAAAATAGTAAGAAGGCAGTATTAAATTACAATGTAGTTTGCGACAACATATTTTAAAATATTAATGTACTTTACGTATCGGGGATAATATTCATAACAAACACCTTGGGCGTCATAATATAAATTATTTCACATCGATAAATGTATACGTATGTTAACCCTAAATTTGTGGTTACGGGCTTATCTGAATAAAGCCTGTTTTGTTTTGTTTATCGAATTATTTGAGAATATGATTTCATTTCGTAAGTTGTTTCGTGGTCTGTTTGCCAATAGGTCAGTTTTCATAAACATCTATATTGTGTTGAAGTATACTAATGCATATATACTTAAACTTACTGCTTATCGAATAATACAAAGAATATACAACAGAATTGTTACACTTTTGAATTTATTATATGTTGAAATCACGAGATTTCAACGATCAATGATCATGAACCTTATGTGTATGTCTTTTATTATAATTTTAACAGTCTACTGATTTTATACTACTGTCAATATTATGAAACGCTCAAAGAAAGCACAAAGCAATGAAATGACGCAGATAACTTATATGTTACCTTGTTCATTCAACGACCAGCTAGTTTTTTTTACAGTCTAAAGTTTTTTCTGTTCATTATTATTATAAAATCCATTTGGTCATTTGATAAATAATGGCATAATAAGAAAACGTGTAAAGAATAATAATACTGAACTCATATGAAGTATGAATAGCTTAAAGGGAAATCTTAGCATATTTTATGATACTTGATCGAATTATATTCTTCCACAGTTACATATGGGAATGACAGTAAACATTATTCAGTATGCAAAATGATATGTCTATTAAATTGTGCAGTGTAAAGCTTGATTGATTTGTAGAAATCTCAGTGTGAAATTTCATATTTAATTGATGTTTACAAGTTTATTATTTTGTTAAATATACATAACGAATTATGATTCCCTTTCTAAGTTTGTTGGATATTCTACTTTATACTCCTATGCTTAGTTCTGTATTTTGTTTTCTTATGTAAATTAATCCGGTCGTCACTTATTACATATAATTGTTATTATAGTGTTGTGAAAACTGTGTTGAATACTAAATTTCATATCATTGGCTGACTCAGGTTAAACGACCATTGAAAACGAAGAAGCACTATATAGTTATTTTGTCCTAATACGGGACTCTTCAGTTGTGCCTATCCAGTGCTTCCAGGTTTCCCATGGTGATCTAGCTTCAATTAACTCATGATCTTAACCATTGAAATTACTATAATATCCACAAAAACCCATCTGACCCGTATTTATTCGAATCATACATCTTAAAATCTCACCTGATATATAAGCTGATTCGAGTTAACATTCTATGAGTCATATCAACATTAATTATTTTATTTTGTTTAACAGTCCTTAATTCACTGGCTATAACTTTAAACAATGCACTTTGCCCTAAACTTGGTCACTTTTCGAATTATTAATTTGGATATATAATTGTAGAACCTGAAGAGAATTTATCGATAAGAATACGCTTCTTTTAATATAATGGGGATCTTGAATCCATTATTAGGATGAAAAAACAACAACTGAGATTAGTCTTGTTGAAACAAAATAGTACTCGACAAAAATGTTGTTTAACTCAATCATAATTTATTTTTCATGTACTGATTTCTGTGATGAAATCTATTGACACCTTTTGGTTATGCAATTTAGTTGTATTATGTACCATAAGCTAGATGGCTTATTTGAAAAGCTTTCATTATCATTCTGGATATTACCAGCAGTTAAGAGAATATAGAATACAACCGAGAAAAGGAAGTTTTTTGTACCACTAGTTTGAAGGTTAGTGATACTATTAAATTCTTTAAATATAAATGATAGGAGCGGAATTCAAAGTATCATTTATTATATGTATTCCGGTTAAAAATTAATATACTTTTCTTCATATGTAAAATTCATTACAGAATAGCATAGTTTAATGTTAGATTAATCAAAACACATACCACAAACAGCTTTACTACAATATAAATAACCATCCATTTGAATAGAAAATAATAATTCAGTATTTAATTCATTTGATTGATCAGCTTTAATCTTTTGTAAATTCGATGGAATTTCCCATAATGAGAATTTATTCTCACTTTGTAAGTCATTTGATTCATTGTTCAAATTAGAGATTGATATTATGGTGTCATTTTCTTCAGACTGTTTAACTTGATGTAATTCTTCTAATCTACCTGAGTGTCCAGAAAAAATAAATAGAAATATATATATGGAATAAATGTTAAATTCAGAGGAATTCTACAATGTGATATTCAATGAAAAAAGTAACTAAAGGTATATTTGATTTTATAAAATGAAACATCACCAGTATAGAAGACATATTTTGTTGTACATTAAAAGATTTTAATAAAACACTTTTCGGTGGGAAGTTATTCTACTTACTTACTTACTTACTTACTTACTTACTTACTTACTTACTTACTTACTTACTTACTTACTTACTTACTTACTTACTTACTTACTTACTTACTTACGCTTGTTACTCCTAATGGAGCATAGGCCTACGACCAGGATTCTCCACCCCACTCTGTCCTGGATCTTCCTTTCTAGTTCCATCCAATTGTTGTTCATTCTTCTCATGTCTGTCTCCATTTATCAGCGTAATGTGTCCTTTGATCTTCCTCTTCTCATTTGGCCTTGAGGGTTCCATGTGAGTGCTTGTCTTAAAACACAGTTGGATGCTTTCCTCAATGTGTGTCCTATTCACTTCCAGTGCTTCTTCCTGATTTCTTCCTCTGCTGGAATTTGGTTTGTTCTCTTCCACAGTAGGTTGTTACTAGTAGTGTCTGCTCAACGGATCCGAAGTATTTTGCATAGACAACTGTTAATAAACACTTTTGTTTTCTGGATGATAGCTTTCATAGTTCTCAAATTTTATGCCACATACAGTAGGACTGTTTTGACATTTGTATTTAAAACTCTGACTTTTGTGTTGGTTGACAGACAGTTGTTTTAAATTCCAGATGTTCTTCAGTTGTAAGTATGCTGCTCTTGCTTTGTCGATCTGCATCAGATCCACAGTGTTCATCGATGATGCTGCCCAGATATGTAAAGGAACTAAATTATTTTATTACTGTATTAATTATATTCATCGTGAAATTATACTTAAGCATATTCAATAATAAACATAAATTCATCAACTTACCTAATTGACATTTGTTTAATTCAATCATACAATTCTCTGATTCGCAATTTAGTAAAGAATCATGTGAAACTGGATTCCTCTCATTTGGAATAACACTGGTATGATCTTCTGAAAGTATGACATCACGTATTTGTTCACAGACTCCAGTATGTCTTATTTTTCTATAGCGTATAGCTTGACAATTTTTATTGACTGAACATCCAGCACGACAAGCTGATTTTGACAAATGACGTATAAAACTAAATGGTTGACCTGATAAACTAGGCCATACTTGTTGTTCTTCTGTTGAATATTGTATGAAGCACTCTTTATAGGCTAAAGTATCATAAAACAGAAAATTGTTGTTGTCAGAATGTATACCAATTTATTAGGTTTTAGAACCTATTTTAATTTGTCCCATTGAAAATTTACTTCTAACAATAAGTGTTTACTGTTCGAAATTTTGATTGGTCATTAAGTATTTCTCTAACACATTTTCCATTGAAACATCATTATCTATTCACTTTATTGGTTCACTTCACCATCGGACCAATTATTGAACAGAAGTCTAAATGTATTAAATGCTTTGTGATAATTGTTCACCATATCTTTTATAAATAAATCTGTGTTGACTTGAAAATTCAAAACAATGAAGTACATTTTAAAAACAAAATTTGTAGATTGGTATGAGATATAACATATTTGTGTATTATATTTCATACAATCCAGTTAGACATTAACATGTCATAGGAAAATGAATTAAAATCAAGGGCTTACATTGTTAAAGAGTTCTATACTAAGCAGAAATGATTGAATGGTTCTCGTTACTTCCCTGATGATATAACTCAACTAAAGTCAATTCACGTTCATTAACAACTATAACTTAAAATAGTCAACACAAAACACTACTCTTTGAAATGAAATGAAATACATAAAAGTTTTGGTAACTTTACATGATTTTCAGTTACGTTTCACAGTTTCGTCAACATTTATTAAAATATGTATGTTATCAGGAATAGATAAATATCAAAGGATGAATACAGGATTTTTTAATTTTGTCGTTTATGGATCAACTTCCAAATTCCTGACGCCCTAGATTAGTTTACATGAAAGATTTCACTATGTTAACACTATTAAAGAGAAAGAATATATTTGTAAAATCTCAGCGAATGAATTCTTCTTCTTTAATGTCTCATATCAATTTGGCGCTCAAATACCGATCAAATTCAACACGAAAGTTCTTATATATGGATCCACAACCGTCTTGACATAATTCAGTTCATACCTTCATAAAGTATTCCGCCAACACCAGAGTGAACAATCGAATTAATCAATCAATAAATAAATTTTGTAAACATCTTTCCCGCATTTTGATTCATCTTTGATTATAGTCATTAAACCGAAAATAAAGTCACAGAAAAATAAATTATCGTTTTTAGGAAATTTGGGAGCTTTGGCGCAAAATTGTAGTAAATTTTAGCTTCATAGTGGTGCATTTTAAAACTAAATAAATTAACCTTATGCGCAAATTTTTCACGTAATAAGTGTGTATAAAATAAAGATATAGAAACGTAGTAATATTCAATCTGTTTTTGTTAACCGTACATATTGAGGGATATTGTACTTAAATATAAAGCCTAACAAACCCTCACGTAAATAACTAGTTATGTTTGAGTAGCTTGTAAAGAATAGCCAACTTTGAAGATAATGTTCCTAGTAGACTGAAATAGAATCATTACCCGGCAATCCAAATAGCATTGTACTCACTAAGAAATTTGAAAATCTTAGGTACAATACCGTCAATACACCTCAAACCAAAACCAAACAACTATAATGATACGTTTTGATTTTCAGAACAGTTTAAGCTGATTAAATCTGTGATAAAAATCATCGTTAAACTAATTGATAAATTTAAGTTACATCTTGTAGTCCTCAACATACACAAGGGAAAAAGCAAGATCCTCAAATACAACACGGAGAGCACCAACCCAATCACACTTGATGGAGGAACTCTGGAAGAGGTGGAAACTTTCACATACCTGGGAAGCTTCATCGATGAACAAGGAGAATCCGATGAAGACGTAAATGCAAGCGTTGTTAAAGGAAGAGCACTATTCCTACAGTTGTAGGACATGTGGAACTCGAAACAACTGTCAACCAATATCAAAGTCAGAATCTTCAATATGAACATCAAAACAGTTCCACTGTACGGTGCTGAAAATTCGACAACTACCGCAACCATCATCAAAAAGGCACAAGTATTTCTAAACCATTGTCTACGTAAGATACTGAATGTTCGTTGACCGGATACCATCAACAACAGTCTACTGTGGGAGAGAACAGACCAGCTTCCAACTGAAGAGGAAATTAAGAAACGACGCTGAAAGTGGATAGGACATACTCTGTGGGAGTCATCAAACTGCATTACGAAGCGAGCGCAAGCTTGGAATCCTGTAGAGAAACGGAAAAAAGGAAGGCCAAAGAACGCGCTGAGACAGGAATTGGAAGCAGACAAGAAAAGAATGAATAGCAACTGGAAACAACTGGAAAGGATTGCCCAGGACAGAATTGGATGAAGAATACTGGTAGGCGATCTATGCTCCACAAGGATTAACAGGCATAAGGAAGTAAATGAGTAAACCATGTATCCTGAGGGTCGACTCGGATCAATATGATTATTACTAAATGATAGGGTTGGCACAACAACAATTATTATTGTTATGCAGTTGATTCGTATTCTTGTAGGCTTCCCTGTTTTGTACTTTATTGTAATGCTCGGTCTTCTTTTACCCTACTCCCATGGTGTTGCTAACACCAGAATATGGTTGTTGTATAGATTGTTCTGTCTGTCTTATGAAGTTGGATCTGCTCTTGATCGTAAGTATATTTCATCAAAATTTTTAGAGTTAACATATTTAACTAGCAACTCATTCTATAGGTAGATTAAAATCCTATATAACAGGCATTTTACTACTTAAACTAGAATGGTTAGTATGTTGAAAGCGATCAAAAACGATTTGAAGATAAAGTTGATACATACTAGATGGGTGGAAGAGGTCTACAAGAAACTATAGAACTAAGTTTCGTGCTAGCTGATAGTCACTGGCAATTGTGTATTTAAAATCTTGTAGGACTAGTGATCACACTGTAACTCGACAAATGGAATTTGATCAGGAACGAAGGACTAAATAAATATGATATTTGTTACAAATCAGTGATCTAACAACATGGTTTATCCATGGAAATATTGAATAATTACTAATAAAATAATCACAAAATCATTTTTAACCAACCTTTCTTTACATAAACACTGACAAGGCAAATTTCCAATTCATCTGCTCTACGTAATGCTAACCACTTTGCATCCATTTCTTGTGGACATTCTATTGTAGCAGCACGAGTACCAGCTGTAATATTACCTGTCGACTGACAAAATTTAATGCCTTTTGAATTCCACATAATATTTTTTGGTGTTCTTTGATTTGTTTGTCTTAGTGATGCTAACATTTCATCAGTTTCCAATGATTCACCACTTTGTATAAGAAACACATCAATATTTGAGAGTTTTGTAGCTTTAAAAATAAAATATTTATTGAAAATAAAGGAATGATAATAGTCTACATATTATTAGGCTAAATACAATAGAGATATATAGATAGCAAGACAGCATTATTCCTATCAGTTTTGTGATATCAACTTGCAAATCATCCAAAAAAGAATTACTGTATGGAAATAAAGATAATGAATGTCTGTAATTGAAAATGATATAATAATACATATATGGAGGACCTAGAACAGATAAATATGAAGGCGATAACTGATGAATGGACATCGTAATTCATGTATGTTAGTGACATTGATATTGTATTCAGTAACTACAAATATGCTTCTTATATAGTGGATCTTCTCAAAAAAGCATACCTCAGCATAAGATGTACAATAAGGTATGAACATGGTAACATTTTTCACTTTTTGGATCTTGTTATTCGACATATTATTATTAAATATCTCTTCATCAAAAGAACACTTAGAATGGATTCCATCCTAATCTCAGTAGTTTACGCTGATAATCGGCGAAATGGCCTTTAATTAGAACTTTGTTCAATCGTATTTAAAACTTATTTTCAGTACATAAAATTAAAGAAAAATTAACAATAACTAAGAATTGTATGCAGAATAATGGTTATCGGTAATTGTGATGAGGAAGGAACAAGAACAGTGATGAAATAGTTGACAACATTAATTTTATACTAATAGGTATGTTGAAACGGGCTTATTTAACTAATAGACTAATCTTCTCATGTACTTCAGATTTACCCCATCTGGAATAGTCATACTAATTGATATAAGTAATAATCAACCTTATAAATAGTGAAACGATAAACGAATGTTATTCAGACTACTATGGGAAGCTAATGAAATTCAACAATCACCATGAGCCCATACTGACATGTAAACATTGTTTGTTATTATGATCAGAGACGGATCGCGGCTGGTAGTTAAATCCAAGATGTGTGTTTCATCCTATTCGAGACTTGTCAGCTGGACGTGCACGCGTCCCGAGTTGATGTTCACTCCGGGACTCGAACGCAGCACCGTTCACTTCACACACCATCACGATATACACTAGCTACTGAGTCCAGATAACCATTAGCTTGCACACTAGGGTGAATTTTAATTCATTTTTGTTTTGGTTGTTTGAACTGCAATTGATCAATCCCAGTAGATCAAACCTAGTAGGTAAGTCGATGACATGATAATGTTTGAAATGAACTGTACTGTGTTCGAGTCCTGGAGATGCAGGCACATCCAACTTACCAGTTTCAAATAGGACGAAACGCATGTCCTAGATCCCTCTAATACTAGCCACCATCCATCTCTGCTTATATTGATTGTGATTTACGGCAATATTGAAGCAATCCACACAGGATAAACATGTGCCAATAAGAGAGTGTTCACTTTTAGTCTTAAATATCAATAGGAAGATTCAAATGACGAACACAAAAATAAATTGCTTGTTATTGTTTCACATTTATGGCTTATTTGACTAATTCTCATGAATGATAATTTATCTTTGAAGGGAATTTTAAGTATGCACACTTATCATTTATAACAAATTATTACTTCTACTTTTACTAGAATGTAGGCAGCTAAAAAGAATTTATGAAATGAATGAATGCGTATTTCTCGGCTACAATTACAGTTCTTGTTTCATTCATATTCTTACTTGATAGAGGAATTTACCATTTGGTAACGGTTAAATAAACATAAGATGTAAGAATTGCAGTTTCAATTATGCATTATTCTTGAAAGCCACTAATAGATATTAATGTGAAACGTATTCATTATGAAGATAAGAAAATGGTAATAATATTGTAAGTCGATATCCTCAGCAAACATGGATATCACATCCGGACTTGTGATATTTATGGACAACACAACGATATTATAAGATTAGTACAAAGGGTTTATCGAGATGATTACATTTAACAATTTACGTCACGAGCTGACAGTTAGACAGTCACTAAAAACGATGAAGTACTGGACAGTTGTTTCATCCTAGTATGGGACTCCTCAACAGTGTGGATCCACGACACCACTGGAGATCGAACTCTCGAATTTCAGCTCTCGTTGCGAGCGCTTAATTTTAGACCGATGAGTTGGTATCCAATAATTCTCCACATTGTGCAGTCATCTTCCATTTTCATTGGTGAGTAATGTTCCCACAATCAACAACGTTGAACTTAAATGGTCACCGCTTCTCACTAGAGCTCAGGTAATCATCTATTGTTTATCTAATCGTCTATCAAACCCTTGATTATTATTATCATTAAGGCTTTGTGCAGACTGCTGAAATTTCCATTTTCATCAACGATAAGAAATTGACAAGTGAAAAATCTAATGAGTCAAGTCAATATTATCAATGATAGTAAAGATGTTTAGTGTAATGAATGAAATTTAGAATAAAAAAATTGATTTATTATTAAAACTTATTATATAAAGGAAGGAATGAGAAATGAACATACATAATCTGCAGCGACCAATTTCCATCATGACACTTTAAATGTTTACCTATTGATTACGACTGTTAAGTGTACTGTACACCCAGGAAGTATGTAACTACCGAGATATCTGTTTCAAGTTAGTAAACAAATAGAAAGATGGACGTTTTCGTAGAACTCATTAATTCTTAGTGCAATTAATGAGGTTTCACAAATTTTTCATTAGAATACAAATTAAATATATATGCAGAATTTAATGAGACAGCCTTATATTGTCAGGGTTTACTTTTTATACCTAAAATGTTATCATGGAATCATTCAACTCAAACATGTTACACCTCATAGTTTACAAATAAGTTTGTTTAGAAACGGTAGATTTGCGATTGCTTGCTTCATAGTAGCATAAACATATTCATAGATGATGTGAAAAATTAACTAACTAGATTTTTTAGTTAGCTCAATACTGCTACTACGTCATCATCATCATCACCCTCACCACCATCATCATCAGGTGTCTGAAAATCTGTGTCAAACATAATTATGTTAATTCTTTTGTAGTTTGTGCCTACTTTTTTTGTGTACATCTTTTACGATTATAATTATCGGACGTAAAAATTAAATTTGGGTGGTCTACAGACATTTAACACCAGGATATATTGTCTTCATTCAAGTTATTAAAGAAAAACAAGCAAACATATGGGCATGTGCGCATCTATTCAATTCGTAGCATACAATTACAGGTTTTGTTTCAACAGAAATAGTATAGAAATCCATTTTGAAACGTTTACTTGCGCAAATAGAACTTTGAAAATATATCTTCAGATATTTTCATTGAACATTTAATGTTCTAAATAAACTTATCACCAGTTAGTTATAAAATTACATGCTGTGAATGTAATCCAATATTATTAAACGGAAAATATTTTAAACTGAATGACTGATTTATATAATTAGCACATTTACACAAATTGATAATAGTTGAATTCAAAATCTACTGAAGTCTTTGACTGATTCATGTAAGTAATGCAGTTATTACAAAACTATTGGAGCGCCTATGAGTGACATATATATAGTTTTTATAAATAACTCCGCATCTAGCACTTCTAACCCTAGCCCCAGATAAAAGGGCAGAGTTGAGCATGGAATTAGCAACTTCGTGGAGAAGAAAACATCGTTGCTAAAAAACGAATGGACCTTCCTATGGATGTCATTTCATCAACGTTAGAAGAAATCAGGATGGCAATTAAACAAATCAACAGCGGATAATCAGTGGGACCAGACAGCATAACACACGAAGCACAATCATTTGAATAGGACTGATTGTCATACATCAACTTTCTCAACCACGATAAAGCATTTGATAATGTGGGTAGGACAAATTTATGAAATCCTTTTCGACACTGTAGTGCACCTGAGATGATCATCAGCATCAAACGGAATTCTTACGATTGACTACGATTCATAGCCATGCGTGCATTGCAGCTGACAGATGCAATCAAAGTAAAGATCAGTATCAGACAACACTCTTTACTCTCGCTTTTTCCCTTCTTTCCGGTGATCGACCACATTATGAAGACTGATGAGATCCAGAGTACTCCTCAAAAGAAGTTCAGAGAGGGGCCCTGAAAATACTGGAAACATTTTATCCAGTCAGCATTGAATAGAAGTCTCTCAAAAATATCTAGAATGTGAAGAGTTAGGTGTCACCTTTCTCATTGGGTGATCGTCTATCCTGAAACTATGTTAAGTAGGGTTCCGGAACCTTCAAAAATCCCAACGCTATCTGAAATGTTGTAAATACCCTAGTTTTCTCTACATAAACCAACTTTGGAGTAAAGCGTTCTTTCCACTATTTGCACCTTTACGCTCATGTTCAAGTTGGCGTGTAGATATAGCCTTTGTTTATTTGAAGAATGTAGGACCCTGATTCAAGTATTTAGTCAGAAGATTTATCAGGACATATACTCCTTAGAGGAAGCACCAGATACAGTAAACAGCCTGAATACAAATAGAGCATTTGAACTCCACAGATGACTTAGCTCTTCTATCCTACTCACATCAACAAATGTAGGTGAAGTCAGACAGTGTAGCTACTGTCTCTGCACAACATCGTCTCCACAAACACAAAAGAATAGGCAATATCCTAAAATATAACCCAGTGAACACCAACCAAATCACACGTGATAGATGGAGAAACTCTGGAATAGATGATATCTTCCACGTAGGTATGCAACACCATTGACAAACATGTCGACCACATGCAGGTGTGAAGGCACAGATTGACAAAGCAAGGGCATTATTACTTCAAGTGAAGAGCATCTAGAACTCGAAACAATTGTCAGTCAACACCAAAATCAGAATCTTCGATACAACGTCGAGAGGGTTCTGTCCGACGGAGCTGAAACTTGTAGAACTACTACAACCATCGTCAAAAGGGTACTAGTGTTTATAAACAACTGTTTACACAGGATTCTTCTTGTCGGTTGGTCAGACATCAGCAGCAATAACGTACTTTTTCAGAGAACAAATCAGGTTTCAACTTAAGAAGAAATTACTACGTCACCTTGATTTCAAATAAGACACTCATTACGTAGAACACCGAATTGCATTACGTGACAAGCCCAAACTTGGAATTTTGGAAGCAAAATGAAGAGGGACCTACCAAAGAATACTTTGTGTTGGGAAATGGATGCAGATAAGAAAACAATGAATAGTATTTGTGAACAGTCGGTAAAGAAATCTCAGGACAGAGTTGGTTTTGGTTGTTGGTCGGCGGCTAATTCTGCGCGAAATTTTACAGGCGTATGCAAACCGTAAAAGAGACAGTTTTTATAAACACAAGAGTGATTGGATTTAAAAAAGATCTTTGAAATTTTAACGTTAATTTCACTCAGACTAAAAAAGATGAAGTTGAAAAACTTTTTGGCTGTGTCGTGGATAGACTAAGGTTGGAAACGTGGATAATTGGATCCAGATTTATTACTATCTAAATATCATGCTCAATACAAGACCTGCAGTTTTCGAGTGGACATTATCGAGGAATCGTAAACTAGGATGAAAGAGCTTCTTTAGTGCCGCTGGGTTTCAAGTATTGTTAAAATGATGTCGATCAATCACAAAAAGTTTTTCAGAAATTTATTTATTTACCCAAATGCTTTTCTGAGTATTTGTTTTTGGCATTTTGGAGATACTCATCGAATGATGTGGTGATCTGTAGCACCAACCTGGTTAACAATCAAATAGAAACTACCTAGTCAGTTCAGATGAGAGTTTTGTATCTCAAATAAAGTAAATCTAACCTTGATCAAGTCCAGCTGTAGGTTGACTTATGTACCTCAAAAAACAAACTATGAAATTCTTCAAACATATTATTTTTTATATAAATTAATTATTTTTTTGGAAATAATGATGGTTCAATTTACCGAAATATTTATGAAATGGATTTGGTGCAAGTCGTATTTCTTTTATATGGTGTAAATGTATACCAAAATCAATTATTAACCAATGATAACCGTTTAAATCAGGTTGTGCAGGATCAGTCTGAAAGCATGTTGGTTGCATATGCATAAAATCATCATCAATCGAATATTCTGATAGACCACCTGGTACATTTGAACTGGAATATGTATTGGCTCCATTGATATTTACAGCAAATAATTCTGTAATATAAAAAGAACATAATAATATAAATATATTTAAGCAATCATCTATGAATTTCCTAAGGTTAAATATAACTGTGAGACATTTAGATTGCTTGAATTGTACACATATATATATGTAACAACAACAATGGAATGTTCAGGAATTATTGATCATTAAATGATTATTAGAGTGATATTTTAATGTTGAACGATAGTGAAAATCTGTCGATTGGGTTTTGAAACTTTATCACTAATTCAACTTGATGTTGTCAGAAAACAAATATGGATAACCAGTGGGATATAAAGATTTTATGTCTTATGCTTAATTTTACCCAGTAGAATAAAACAATTAGGACAGTGAAATTATCAAAATGTCATGAGTTTAAATTAATCCAGAATACGTTTGCTTGAATATGGATAAAAAATCTAATCAAGATAGAGTTGCCGTGGGATTTATTCAATATGGAATTATGTTTCATCAGTGCGATATTAATCGAAATATTATCATGACAACTTGAGAACACTCAACAGATGCCTCAACCTAGTTTGGAACTTCTTGTCCATGAGTACTAACAAAATGATGAACTTTGAGATATTGCTTAGAACAAGATAACATTTAGACTATTAAGTTGGAATCCAATGTATACATATTTCTAAATTTAATCAACATTTGTTAAGAGATCTTTTATCACTCATAGACCAGTTAGTTTTGTATAGCTTTCTTACCATAAAGACTGGTTTCATTCTGTTTACATCTGAAACATTGATTCTCTGCATAATTTAAGGTGATTTAATTATGTATAATTCTTGATATCATAAAACTGCAAAATGATTAGTTCAAATTCTGGGTCTCCTATACAAATTAGTCGTTAACCGAAGCTTTAGATATGTTTTCATTCCCAAAGCGAAACATATGAATTCAAATGGTAGATGGGTGATATTTCTAGATGTTGCTTCCTTGTTTACTAGTATATCATTAACTGAGACAATCGACTTTGAGTATCAGCAGCCACCTAAGAAACAAATTAGTATTACAATATCTGGTACTAGTTTGGAAGAATTATTTTTGAAATGTACAATCAACGTTTATTTTTGTCCTTAATAACACATATTCTAAACGAATTGATGGAATAACAATCGGTTCATTTCTAGATTCGAACCTTACTGGATTTTTTCTCACAAAACTAGAAAACTGGCCTCTCCAGGAGTTTATTGATAAGCTTGAATTTTATCGCTGTTACATTGGTAATACTTTCATAATCGTCGATCACAACATTGGAAAAGAAAATTTTTTAGAGCAGTTTAATAATACACGCTCAGGAATCAGATTTATATATGGGGAGGAACTTGATAACAAATTACATTTCCTCGACGTTTTTGCAAGACAAGAAAAAAAACATTTCTGTCAATAAAACTGCGTATAAAAATGGTTTTTCAAGAAAGCCAGTACACACATTTCTCGAGCTTTGCGCCCATTTATTACAAGCAAAACCTAGTTAGATGCCATGCAGTTAGAGCTAGGAAGATATGCTTATGTCTGTCGACATGAGTAGTATGTAACGCCGATTGGAAGTAAAAAACATGGCAGTAGAAGGCTAACAAGGTTGAATTGAAAGGAATAGAAAAGAGTTGTAAACTTAAACAACTATACATAATGTGGAGGGAAAACGATGGGAATTCGCAAATGAAGTATTCAGTGTATGGTTCTCATATTTCAGGAAGACATTCTGTAATTTTGCGTGAAATAAAAAAAATTTGTTTGTCCCCACCTGAGTTTCGTTTGTTACAGTGTAACAAATGTTTCAGACTATACTTCACAGTTTGAATAAAAATAAAGTTTTACTCATTATCGAAATTCTAATTATATGCAAAGATAGGTAGTGGCTAGCAGCGGAATCCAGGACGCGCGTTTCGTCCTGTTTGGGACTCGTCAGCCAGGGGTACCTGCATCTCAAAGTTGATGTGCACTCTGAAACCGTTCAACTCAAACATCATCACGTTGTCCACTTAGCTACTGAGTTATGATAGCCACTTGCTTGTGCAATCGCGTGAAGTTTAAATTCACTTGGCATTGTTAGCTTGGATCTTCCTATTGATGTTTAGGACTGTAATTGATCAGTCTCTTGTTGGCATATGTGCATCATGTGCGGACTGCCTCGATATTGCCTAAAATTCAAAGCAGCCCTAAACATCAACGGGAAGATTCAAGTTAACAATACCTAGTGAATTTAAAATTTGTGATTGTTTCGCAACTTAATTTTGTAAAACAATTTATAGATATACAAGCAGCCTAAATATATGGTTTAACATTAGATATCTTCACATATTTACATTCCATATTTGTTCCTGTCAAAAATGACATAATGAAGTTTCATGTATGAAACCCTATTCGAATGCAACAGTTATTTATACACAATGCATATTTAAGAATGCATAATTACCATAGATAGTGAGAGTATAACTTATGGATGAACCAATCAGATTTACGATAACAAGCCTTAGATTTTGGCGCGAAATTCATTCACCCATTTTGCTAAATAGAGTTTTGGGATTATAGCTTATGTCGGTTCGTGATAAAAACCCTAAATCTAATTCCTAACCCAAGCCATCAACCGTAAGTTATAATCCTTATTCTTCAAACTGCTTTATAACCTTCATTTAGCTCTAGTAAGTAGGTAGACACTTTCAAGATCATTTTAGCGTCGCTCAAATGTCCTCCATAAATTATAGTCTAACCCCACAGATTAGTTATCTGTTAAACAATATTTGTATGTTTAAAATAAATGAATGGTAGCTTTGAATTTACCCCTGGGACCTGACACACATCACACTGACCATCACCCAGTGATCAATAAATTGTGATTACATCTCAGTCCTACAGGAGGTCGGTCGAGGCCCGGATAGTTTTCTACTGAAAGAAGATCATTATATATGGGATCTTTTAAGGTTAACTGAACACCCCAATGTTTCTGAATCAAAAGACAGTAGTTCCATTATATAAACAAGATTATGTAGATAATTTAAACTATTGAAATAAAATCTTTTCTGTTCTATAAGTTTTCCTTAATATTAACAATAGTCTGAGTGGGTTAAATAGCGCTGAGAGTTAGATATGAATTAAAGAAATTAATTTAGTTGGATTATCATTTCATCGTTACCACTTTTAAATCCCTGTTCATCATCATCTCTCTCTCTCTCTTGGTATATATATATATATATAATTATATCACAAAGTATTTGATTACAATGGCTTGACATTTGTCGATATGAGAAATACATAATAATAAGAAGTTATTGAAGAAGTTGGAAAACTGACCTCCTAAAATAGTCTAGAGAAAAGGGTATCTGATTAACTGAGAATTGGATATCTTAATTCAACACTTAATTGTATTAGAGAAACATACATACTACATGCATACTACACACATGCTACGTATATACGTGCATACACACATACAAACGTACATGCTTATACATGAATATTAACTTGATGAATCACCAAACTGTTAGATTGCATAAAACTTTTTACCGCCAATGTACAATTTTTGCTTGTGGTTTTCTTTTTGGTTCAACCACACACACACATACACACAATACCATTGCTGATTTCTGGTCAAATATTTGTGTTAGCAAATAAATGATATATTTTGTTATATAAATATGGGTATATAAGCATTTTCATCCTTAAGCTCACTACGCGGCACTGTTTGAAGGGAGAGTGGATAACATGAAGAAAGAAGATATATTTGTTTGTTTTATCACTTTGTTACTACACCCACTGTTATGTATAAATGTTTTGTTTGCTCTTTCACAGTAGTAATCTTTACTTTTCATTATGGTAAAGAGGTTATGGGTTAGTTGATTTTTTCGACAAACTACAAATCACTGGTTATTAAATCAATATTTTTACAACGCTAGGTAAACCTTTATAGACTTAATTCAGGACACTCCCGTTCGACGGTGAGTATGGTACCTTCAGATCACTGTGTCAGCATTTAATTGTCCAAATTTCTGTCTCATTTAGTTCTTTATATTATGCCGTTATCATCGATTGTAATCGTCAAGAACTATCTGATTTGTGATACGTTTAGACTCTATTTGTCATGACTACGTACTAGAACTTTCAGTATCTGTCTTACAGTTAGTCACTGATAAATATATGAATACGATGCTTAGAGAAGTCGTGGGAAAATAATTCTGAAGAGCAGCACTCATGGACAGAATAGTCATACAATGGTTTTTGGTTCACATTGGTTGTCCAGTTAAAGTTAGTTTGCGCTATGAGTTATCTTAAGGCTAAAATAATGCTTGTTAGAAATATCATTGACTATTCACAAGGGTACAAATAAGTTACAAATCTGAATTAAGAAAACCGAAATGAAATATTGGAACCTCTTCAGTTTTCAACATCAGATTTTGATTGAATATTTGATCTCTTAGTTTCATATATTTCAGCTAACGCCATCAAAATATCTTCCATAGTTATCTACTGGACTGCTGACCGGGAGGAGATGAGATGGCATTTCTAATATCCACTAATAATGCTTAAATCATAATTAGCCCAATGCTGAAAAACATTAAGTCTATACTCAACCTATCCGTCAATTGCCTCATCATATCTCACAGATTATTATTTTCGTTTGGGATTACTAACAAGTTTCTCTTAGTATTTATTTTAGTTGCAGAGCTTTCCGCTGATCAACTTTAACCATCTTATATCAATATATATATGCACTCGCATAACGTAATCTAGATCATTCATTGATCTCAATCAGGGAAATAAATAATAATAAATTTAAAATTACAGTGATCTATTTTGGTAAAACAAGTTGATCAATTTCAGATACAAAATATACGAATCATTTAATATTGAACTAAGATTATGTAATTATGTTTATATTTGTTGCGAAGTAACATTTTACTATTACCCTCATCTTTACAAAAAGGGAAAAGAAACCAAAATACTTTTTTCGTTTATTTATGTACACACGTATATACTATTCATAGATAACAGTAAT